CGTTTTTTGGATTAAAACGGTAAATACAAAGATTAATTAATTATTAAAATTTAACTTTAAAAGCAAATATATATATCAGAAGTATAGCAACTAACATTACACTCAAGTGTTTGTACAAATACTTATGCCCCCGTACAATTTCCCGTAACCTTCGATAGATTGCTTCGTACGATTGTGCCTGATGAGTCACGTTCATATATTCGTGGTTTCTACTGTATGTAGCAATTGTACCTTTTCATAACAACAAACGGCCATGCGCGGTACAAACGGTCATCAATTATATTTGGACACGTCCTCAAGATCACATTGTAGTACTTACTCCCTTTCTCACTGAAACTGTTTGTTCAAAAAAATTGTTATTTGTGCCTTTTGGAGACAACATTTGTTTTACTTTTTTAAAGATTCCTAGTCAAAATAACTCAACCCTCAAAGTTTTATTTTGAGATTATCACTGCAAAAATTTGTTATACAAGGTGTCCCTAACTTATTGGCATAAATTTAGGAAAAGATTGAGCAAGTCAAAATTAGACGAAAACCTAAATACATATTTTTCCTAATTACCTATGTTTCCAAGATACAGGGTGATAAAGTGTTACTTATATCAGTTTTTTTAAATATAACTACTATACTATAATAGTCTTGGAAAGGTGATATTTTGCTAACGGTCACTTACTACCAAAACACATATTTACACATAATTACAATTGTTTGAATGAACATAGTGTAACACTGTCAGTGTCGTAGAAACGGGGGTTCTTTAATTTTATAAGGGAGTGAATTTAACCAATAATAATAATTTCACCAATAATACATTGATTTTATATAAATTCAGTTCTTGTGAAAGTGTTTTTCATTTAAATAGGTATGTCTTTTCTATATTTAGTTATTATAATCTAAGTTCACAAATATCATAATAAGTGGTTAATTATTTAATATTTAATTTAAACTATATTTTATTATTATTATTTTAACTTGTTCTTTGTGAGAGAAGGAATAACCTGAATTGTTTTATCTTAATGGTTGTTGTGGGACAAACCCACATTACAAATTCATTATAATCATTATTTTATGTTTATAATTATTATAGTTATTTTACATTTACTTTAACATACTATATTGTAATGTAATTTTACATTTTACTAAATATTTATATTTAAAATTTACAAACTTTATTTTGTACAGTTTATCTTATTTTATTTATTTGATAAATTGATATTCATTATTTAATATGGTGAGACTTGTTTCAAGTTCTGCATATCAAATGAGTTATTTAGTTAGGGAACTTTGTTGACGGGGGTTGCTTTAAGCTTATTGTCCCATACAAACTTTGAGGTTAGGTTTTTATAACATTTGATGGAATTTTTCGATTACACAGTTCGGCTAACATTAAAAAGGTGTACCTCTTAAACTTCTATAAAATAAACCGTTTCCGAGATATTCGAGATTACAATAATTGTTATATCGCATTAAAAGGATTAAAAGGTACCTCGGGACATTTTGCCGTGACCGTCACATTAAAAAAATTGTAGTCTTTTCAATTAAAAAATTTGTTATCATATACCTTTTAGTCCTTTAATGCGATATAGCAATTATTGTAATCTTAAATATCTAGGAAACGGTTTATTTTATAGAAGTTTTCGCAACGCGCGCGCTATCTGGTGGACTTCAATGGCATTGCGTGAATTTAAGAATTGTCAACAATACATTTAAAGCATGAACTGTACATCATTTTTAAATAAATAGGTAGTTTTTTTCACAAAAGAGAGGAATGCAGAAATCTTACTCGACAAATTTGTTCAATTGCACAGCTAAATCGCGCACGTTATTATTATTATTATAAAACTAAAACACTGGTTTAGTACTCGATTTCAATTGATTAGTCTTTATATCATTCATTAAGAAATTCAGGAATTCTTAATCAACGCTTTTAATAATGCTAAATGCTGTTTAAATTTAGATGACTTATTTGTTTGACGATTTTTACTGAATTGAAATGTTTACACTTTTCACGTTAATCATTACTAAAATGTGTATTTATTGCATCTAATAGGTACAATTTATTTACAGAGACTGTATGAAATTTATTACTCCATTAACACTGTTTATTGGAAAACCCATAAAAACTCAACCCAGGATTTCCTCTCAAAATACACCCAACAACACAACAAATCGTGCTACGGTTTTTTCCGATATTTTTTAACATTTTCCAGTTTTATGTTTAAAAACACTCGTTTGTATCACACGTTACGATGATAACAGCCGAGTGGTGGCGCTACGAGCGATACTTCTTTAGCATATAATTAAAAACTTTTATCCCCAAGCGTTCTAAAATGTAAGCTTCATTATTGTCAACGCTCACTACCAAAGTATTCCATTATCTCGGGTATCTCGGTCATCTAGACTGTAAAAGTGACAGCTCTGAGCTATCCAACCTCACTTTATACTTTTATAATTTTTAATAAAATTGTTATTACGTTTTATGTATCGTTTAAGAAATAGAACTGCCTTAAAGATAAAATAATAATAATAATAATAATAATAATAATAATAATAATAACTTTATTAACGGTATGACCAATTTACAATATATATACAAATACAAGAATCCTATACAACACAATGTAAACAATGCAATAAATATATACACATATACATATATTACGACACGTTAAAAATTCATTCTGAGCTTATGTTTAAATGTTGGCAAAGAAACATTAAAAAAGTCTATTTCTAGCTTATTCGCATTCGCACATATTCGATTTAGCGGCATAAATCTAGCATAGTCTGTTCTTTGTGTTTTTAAGTAAAACAAATTTTTTTGCCTCGTTTGCCTTTGAGGAATATTAAAGTGTATCATTTGAAGCAGCTCAGGACTGTTTATTAAATTATTTAAAAGTTTATACAAAAAAACCAGACCATGTTCGGTTCTTCTAACAGAAAGTAATTTTAGGCCGATTAACTCTCTCATAAACATATAGTCTAGGTTTTCTGTACTCACATTTAACTTATAAGCACAAAAACGAAGGAATTTGTTCTGAACTTTTTCAATTTTGTTTTCCAAATTTGAAAAATGTGGGCACCAAACAACACAACAATATTCCAGGATGCCACGTACGAAGGACATATATACATTTTTTATACAATAAATATTGTTAAAATCTCTTAAGCTACGTTTTAAAAACCCCAGCATTTTTAGAGCTCTGTTTACCATTTGATCAATGTGCTCATTAAAAGTAACCTTGGTATCAAAGTAAACGCCTAAATCTTTGATTACACTTACATTTTCTAAAATAACAGAATTTAAACTATACGGAAAAACAACAGCATTTTTAACTCTATAAAAGTTTATGTTTTTACATTTATTCACATTAAGTTTCATTAAGTTTCTATCACACCATATTTGTATTTGATTCAGGTCTTCCTGGATGTCACAGCAGTCTTCAATATCTTTAATAACTTTGTAAAGCTTTAAGTCATCGGCAAAAAGTAAATATTTACAAAATTTTATGTTATCACCAATATCATTTATGAAACAATTAAACAAAAGTGGAGAGAGATGACCACCTTGAGGAACACCAGACGTAACACTAATTGTTTTGCTTCTAAAATGGTTGTTAATAAGTACTATCTGTGTCCTATGACTCAAATAGCTTTTTAGCCAATGCAATAATTTCCCAGTTATTCCCAAGGCTTTTAATTTATTAAGTAGAATACTATGATTAACTATGTCGAATGCTTTGGAAAAGTCAGTGTAGATAGCATCTACTTGACTTTGATTTTCCAAAGCATTCAACAGGTCTTGTTCAAAAAGAATTAAATTACTTGCCGTAGATTTACCCCTACAAAAACCGTGCTGTTCTTTGATTAGGACATCTCTAAACAAAGGCGTTATTTTATTATTAACAATTTTTTCCAATATCTTAGGGATCTGGGAAATTTTTGAAATTGGTCTATAATTTTTAATATTAGTTTTGTCACCATTTTTATGAAGAGGTATAATAAAGCTTTCAGTTGAAAGGTGTCTTTTTGTGCTTCAATTTGCAATCCCGTCGGCCTTCAAGTTCAGCACAAAAAGACTCACTTCTCAGCCTTATAACATAACTATTATAACATAACTATTGATATAAAAAATAGTAGATTGTTTTATAAGTAAAAAAAAAGTTTTCTAATGAGATACAAAACTCAAACGCAATATAGTCGTCCCTCGTATACTACTAAAAAAATCTGATATCTGTCACGTTTTAACAAAAAACTGATACCTACTTTTCTTTACGATTTTTAAATATAGCATTATTAATTATTACACACAAAATGGCATCACGTTTTTATTATTTTATTTTTTTGTCAGGCATCATTTTTAAACTTGGAAAACAATGTTTTATTTAAGCTTAAAACATTTTTAATGGCTAATATAAAAAAAAATTAAAAACATTGTCGGATTAAAAGAAATTTTTTTTTTTAATTATAATTTTCGTAATTACCGGACAAGATTTTAGAATCGTATTTAGATAATGTAGAAAAAAGTTATTATCTATATTTGTATTTTTTCTTATCAAAAATGTTAAAAGTTTTAACTTAAAGTAGGTAATTAAATAAATATTTTTAAAATTAGGAATGCCGATAATCTGATTGTCTTGTTATTAACAGAAATAAGCTCTTATTTTTATTTAAATTTTAACAGCTTAAAATTTATATTGGTTAAAAGAATATTTAAATTTATGCTTTACTGGATTTTCCTTTCATCATTTTTCAATTTTTTCTCTTTAAATATTAAAATATTTATTGATTTAGTTTAACCTTGTCTTCATTTATATTTTTCTTCACATTAATTTCTGTTAATTTCTGTAAATTTTTAATGTTCCTTTATGTTTCTTAAAATTAAAGATGCTTTATTTAAATCATTCCTTGCATGATTTACTATTCCATTAGGGATGTGTTTCTTTGTACCATCCGAACTCTTTACACCGACATCAATAATCCGATAATTTCTTTGTTTGCAGGAACGACGGTGCGTGGCGCCTTCGACCCAATAAACGAAATCGCTGACATTTGCAGGAACCACGGCGTATGGTTGCACGTGGACGCTGCTTGGGGAGGTGGTCTTATTTTCTCGCAAAAACACCGCGCGAAACTTAATGGGATGGAAAGGGCGGACTCGGTGGTCATAAACCCGCACAAACTGCTTGCGGTGCCGCAGCAGTGCTCGCTCCTGCTGGTCAGAGACGAGGGACTTCTTCGGGGAGCGCACTCCAAGGGTGCCGAGTATTTGTTCCAGAAAGATAAGCACTATGATAAGTCTTATGATCCTGGCGACAAATACTTGCAGTGCGGCAGGAAATGCGACGTGTTTAAGTTTTGGTTTATGTGGAAAGCAAAGGTAAGGATAAGTTTCTATCTCTCCCCACTGTTTAATCTAAGTTTCTTTGGACAAATTATTTGCTCTGAACTATTCGCTATTTTAATTGCAAATTTTGGGTTAAAAATATGAAGATGTGAGAAAAATACGTATAATACGTATATACGTATAATATATATAAAGTGTGTTATTATAAAAATAATTTTATACTTTTTCGTATATATACGTATACAGTGTGTCTTCTTAGGTTTGCACCATATGGAAAACTTTTTTATTATTAATGTTACGAAAAAAAATTATTCTTTATAAAAAGTTCTGCATGGTCTAAAACCTATAATGCAACCATCAGATATTTTTTTTCAGGCTTTTACGAGATTTCTCAAAAAATATGAATTTGGCTCAATTGGCTCATTTGGCTTATCGACAAGCATCCGAAATATTTAACAACAGACAACATTTTGTAACGAATAAAGAGATAACTATATATTTTACCCTAACTCCATATCTGATGGTTGCATTAGGTTTTAGACCATGCAGAACTTTTTATAAAGAAAAACTTTTTTTCGTAACATTAATAATAATAAAGTTTTCCATATGGTCCAAACTTAAGCAGACACAATGTGTACGTATATACATATACGAAAAAGTATAAAATTGGTATTATAATAACACTATTAAATATTAATTTCCAGTTTTAAAGTATGCTGCTTTACATTCAAAATGTTAATAACCTCATTAAGTAAAAATTTAATGGTAATAATAATAATATTTATTCAGTGTTATAAAAACGTCAGGTACACAGAATAGTAAATGGTGATAAAAATATTAAATGATTAACATTATACAACTAATTTTTGCAATTTGTAACCGTAATTATGGTATTTTAACCGACATACAATAGAATTAATATAAATTACATTAATACTAACAAACTTACAGTTAATAAATATACCCTAAATTTTTTTTTTGCAACTCATAAAATTTGATTCCCCTGTAATCTTCACTTGCTGGGTGACGATATCTAGGTATTAGCAATGAGTCCTAAAATCTAGTGTTATATGTGGGGGCAACTGAGTTTACAGATATCGATAAATAACACTCGTTTTACAAAATAGTATTTTAAATTTCTTTAAAAACCGAAACGTAAATATTCAACAAAACAATGCAAAAAATCCCAATCGTTAAAATAAAAATTATAAAAACAAAAGGAAATTACCTCTTATTTTAAAACAAACCATGAAAATCCGGTAGTTTATTATTAAATCATGTTCAAAAATAAATCTAAAACACAATACAGCTATTCTAAATAAAAAAATATAGTTATTTGTCATCGGGAGTAAAAAATAATGCAGTTACAGCTTAGCATTCCTTCGTAAAATTTATGTTTATGTATTTTGGTCCCCACACTGTCATATTTATGACCCCGAATTTAAATGGAAACCAAGATTTAATCCTCCCCAAAACAAGACACCAGTGGAAGAAAGAACAGGGGCATAATGTAGGATTACAGTTTCAGTGTAGTTTATTCAAATTTGCGTCGACATTTAGACGCAAAACAAGAGTTGGTTAAGAGAAAAACACGTTCTGAAAATATAATTGCCCAGCCAATTTCGAGAAAAATGTAATTGAATGGCGACGGGTAACCAGTGGCATTGCAAAAATTTATCAAATTATTATAAAATATACTAAATTGAATGAAATATTTAGAAGCAAAAAAGCCTAAATACATTTTAACCTAATAGCAGATTATCTTAAAAATGTTTATTTTAGATCTAAGAACCGTATCATTTATCAACATCTAAGCAATATTGCAAACAATAATCTACAATTTTAAATAATGTTTTTTGTGTAACTAATTATAATTGGAAAACTTAGTTTTGTGGCCTCTAGAGACAGTGGGACTGCTACGCCACTGGATGAAACCTGTTCTCTTTTATTTTATACCCAAAGCGTAATTGGGATTGTGTCTATTTTCTATGGAGAATAATGGAAATAGAGATATACAGATCCAAACTGCATTTTCATAAAACATGCATTAAATAAATTTAAATACATATAGAAAATATAAAAGTACGCTGTTAACGCTTATGTAAGTAAATATAAATTTATTCATAAGAAAAGGAATTATATTACATTTTCCATATTTTATTCTAATGATAAAAAACGTATTCTATTCTCATAAATTCTGCTTGGTTTAATTTAGACCAAACTTCCTACAGTCATATGGGCAAATATTTTTTCCAAGTTATCTGAGAAATTTCTTATAAGTATGCTAATTGCCTGGGGAACGTTTAGACGACTTTTGGAATAACAAAATACCTTTAACTTTTATTCAAGGCACTTTTTATAATAATTTGAACCATTATCCGCTCAGTTGACCAAAAAACTTTAGGAAAACGAACGAATATCTCAAAATAGACATTCCACTTTTATGTACTCTATTAAAATGAAATAGTCAAAATTTTACTATTTGTAAGGTAAGGTATGTTCGTCATGATTTTAGTTTTTTCGACACAAAATAATATAAATGGCATGCATTTATGTTGTAATTGTCAGAGTACTGGCTTTAGATTCAGTTTCTTTTTTTTAAGAAAACTTAAATACCTAGCAAAAAAAAACCTTTAAAATTAACCAAGTCAAAGAAAGGTAATTTCGTGATAAGGGTATCTAACTTCGTGACATGGGGTAGGTATATTCGTGATACCACAATTAAAAAAAATTAAGTTAATGTTTAATAATCGGTTTATTTATGCTTAACAGGTTATTTTTATTTTTATTGTGAGTCATCACTGCTTCTGTCTTGCATTTTATAGCTAAAATTTAAAATAACAATAGGTTATTTCGTGTTAACGTGTAATTTCAAATAAGATTCCTTTTAGGTTAGATTTCTAGTCAATAGTAAATATAGCCCAACCTTACAAATTTGTGACAGTAAATACTGCATAGGAAACAGAATAATTAAAAATTAAGCAAGGCTTGCAAAAAACCTAACAAATTAACTCCACGGGATAAGCTATTACCGTAAAATTTTGTTAATTTGTTAATTTGATTTGAAAGGAAGATTCTGCATTTTAAATACTATAATTAGTACAAATTTTAAGAGCCCATCTTTAAGTTACACCTTGTAAAACAACAAATTTCTTGCTAGCTGTAAAGCCCGCCAAAAATTACTACATAATATGCAGAACGTAGAAAAAAAGTTTTATAACGCCACGAATATATATTCGTGATTTCGAAATGCACCAAGTTGCGCCATCTAGTAGAAAGATATAGTAACCACTAGCCGAAATTAAATTTCATCTACAGCAATAGGTTATTTACTGACAAATATATATATTTCTATCACGAACTTAACTATAACACGAACATATCTTACCTAAAAAATTGTCATTTTCACTTTTAAATAGTTATTTTGTACTACTTAAATAGTTAAAGTTTGACAAATTTAAGACCATCTTTGAGTGTTTCTGAGTATAAAAACTATTTACTAAAAGTAACTACTAATAATTAGGAATTATGTCTTTAATCGTTTTTAATTCTTGTGGCCAACAACAAATTATTGTGCATGTAGGCTCCATGATTAAATGGCCCATAAAAACAAACAAAAATGCAAAAGGTTTAGCTTAAAACTGCAACACAAATAAGATATTCAACATTAAAATATTATTAAAAATATTTATAAACAAATAAAACTAATTTTTATAAAAGTAGCAATGGCGAAGCGATAAGACATCCGGTTGACGACCGAGAGTCCCGAGTTAAACGCCCTGCTGGGTCAAACATTTTTTTAAATTTAAATTTACTAATTTGACTATTTAATTTTGTACAATTTGACAATTTAGGAGCATCTGTGCAAAACCGGCTATATCCACTTTAATAAAATGTTGGGAAAATGGCAAAAAATCTCGGTTTCCTGGCCTTTACAGATAAAAGATTAAGCAAACTTAAGTTTTGTGGGCTTTGTGGTACTTGATTTATAAGACATACTTTCGTTTTTAAAAACTTTATATTAAGTCCAAAATTTCAAAAAATGTTTTGTATATATCCGGTTTTGCTCAAAAAAATTTAAAAAAATGTTTTATATAGCCGGTTTCGCTCAAAAACCGAATAAAATGTGAAAAAAACCTTTATTATTCAAAAATATTAACAAAATAAATTTAGTGCAAACATGGAAAAACAGAACAAATTTTAGTAGTAGTATCGACATATCCAAGCCACATGCTCATCATCATTATTATTTATTGGATATAGCCAGGTTTGCTATAAAAACGTGGATTTGGCCGGTTTTGCTAAAGCTAAATATGATTTTAACATAGATTTAGTCGGATTTAAACAGAATTAACTTGGTTGTCGATAGAAATGAACCCAAAGATGCGAAATCAGAAAAAAAAACCAAAAACTGAATAAAATGGATTTAGCCGGTTTTGCACGGATGCTCCTCAATTAGTCAAATATAATTTATAATAAGTCAATTTTGACTAATTCACTTTAAGAGAGTAGTTTGTCGGATAGCAGCAAAATAAAGAATATGCAATTTATTTATTTGTAATATTATTATTATTAAAACCAATAGAAACTTTTAATTTCATTCATGTGTGTACGTTTTAGCCAATTAAAACATTATTCTGAGCTACAACGCCAAAATGCAGTATATCAAAATCAAGTCATAAAGGACAAAATATAATTTTTATTGTTATGAAAAATTAAAATGATCTTTTGTATTTTATTACTTCATATTTGATATATTGAATTTCAGCGTGGTTGGGTATTATTAGCAATAATTTCTACATTATTTCCGGAAAAATAATTTAATAAGTAAATAAGTAATAAGTACCTATATTTTTAAAATTTGTCTTTATTGTTGAAGCATTTTTTTGGTTTTAACTTTTTTATTCTCGCCCTTTGATAAATGATAAATAATATTGTTAAGCGCCGTACGTAGCGTCAACCATCAAGATTTGAGGTGCAGGATGAGGACAGTATCTTAAAAAATATGGACTTGTCTAATGATTGTTTAACGC